AATATTTAAATTCACAATTTGGTTCTTCTTTTTCTTTCTTAATTACTTTGTGTTAACTCGTTGTCATGGATCAAAATCATTTATAGTGGATTAAGATGGTGTTTTTCTTCTCCTCCGTTAATTTCTCCACCGTCATTCATCTCCTGGTCAAATTGAGTTGTCGTCGAAGATCGACATAGTTAACTAGGTACAGAAGGTAATTATTTTTCTCATAATAGTTTACTATGTATGTTATTTTTCATTATAATAGGCAACTATGTTTATGATAATAGTCAACTATGTATGTTAATAACTACGTTTTAAACTAGTTAACTATGTTTGTTTAAATAACTAACTATTACAACAACATGTTTCTTGTAGTCAACTATGTCTTGAAATCAGTAGTGCAGTTAACTATGCTATGAAAATAGTTAACTATATTTCCAAATTGGTAACTATTTTCAAAAAATAGTTAACTATATTTTAGATAGTTAACTATATTCTGAAACGTTTCAAAAATAGTTAACTATGTTATTAAATAGTTAACTGTTATGAAATATTTATTTTTTGTATCTTCTGATCCAATTTTTTTCCCTATGGCAGTTGTGAAAACACACATCTACTTTTGGCAAGAATACTATTGCAGATTAAGTGGGTGATTGGTTCGGCTGTAGCTGTAGATTAATTGCTGTAGAATTTTTGCTGTAAATGTTTTGGCTGTAGCTGTACATTTTTTAGGCTGTACATTTTTAGGCTGCAGATTTTTTTGCTGTACATATTAAACTGTAGCTGTAATATTAAAATAAAAACACGATTGGTAACTATAAAATATGTGCTGTAGTTTTAATTAAATTAATTTATGCAAATAAAAATTGTTATAATTTAGAAATTTTATCATATCATCTTCTAAAAGCTATGTATAGATCTCTATGTGTAGAGTAAATAAAAAACACAGAAAACATTCATGAAGAGAAGATGGAGACAAAAGTAAACAAAAAAAAATTGTATAATCTAGAAAAGAGACTCACTGATTTGATTTGTGGTGAAGAGAAAATAAGAAGACGTGTTTCTTCAAACCTTTGTGACGGCAATATACACACACATATATATATATAGGTTAGACTTTTTTCAATTAGGTAAATAGATGTGCTTATCTTGATTTTTCCATTTTTTAAAAATAATTTTTTTTAAAAAAATAAGAGTGTACAGCCATAAAAATGGGGCTGTAAGATTTTACATGTTACAACAAAAGAAATTTAAAAAAAAATTAAAGAGGCTGTAGCTTATAGAATTAAAGCAAAAACATGATTGGTAATAAAGGATGTAGGTTTGAAACTTAAAGAATTAAAGCTACAACATGATTGGTAACATAATGATGTTTTAAGAAAAATTAAGGCTGTAGACAAGGCTTAAAACCCAACCAATCATGCACTAAATCAAGAGAATATATTTAGAGATTTTTTATGTATATTTACCTTAATTATAGTTGTATGGACAATTTTGTCATAATTTAATTCTTTTTACTAGTTACCTAATTATATTTTTGGATATGTTAATTTCCTAATTATAAATCTCAAAAGTAA